TCATATATATACACACACACATACATGTGACTTAAAGTGGTGAATTTTATATAATTATAAAATGAACATGTGTCAAAGATTTTACTTAATTCATTGGTTTAAAAGATAACTCAAAGAATTATAGATCAGGCATTCTACAAATAAATACAAGATTGGCTTTTTGCACAGTGGGGGAGGGAAATCAATTGTCTACATTGGACAAACTGTGCATGTCTATAGTCAACTATCACTTGAGTTGCTATCAATTATCTACAACTTACAGATTTGTAAACTAGAGCAAAGACAAAGAAAGGCAGATATAATTCAGAGAGGTAGATAGAAAAGACTTTTCAACATCTTTCACCATTTTTCACTATAGACAACATAGAAACATTCCTGGATATCATTATCATATTGCCTGGATTGAATTTAATGGATTTGTAAGCATGGGGGTTTCTCTAGCTATATTCCATAGCTCAGATTCCAGATAAAATAAAATGTCTGAATTGACAGAATTGCTAGGTTGCCAACTTAGAACAGAGAAATCACAAGATGCTGAGGATATGGAGGCTGGAGAAGAGAATTTAACACATAATTGATAAGAAAGGGACTGTTGTTCTCCTATTATAGATCATGAAACTGAAACTCAGTGATTAATTGGCCTGTCTAAGGTTTCACAACATTAGGTGACAGAGCTAGGAATCAGCCACTTTTATAACTAATTCAGAACTTCTTTCTGTTAACAGTGGATTTCAAACAACTCTAAGGAGTTCCTTTGTTCTTTAGAAGCGAATGCAGGTCTCAAGGTGAGAAATATCTTTACCTATAAAAGGCTTCACCTCAAACAATAATGCTTTATCTGTTGTGGAAATAAAAACAACACAAATAAAAACAGAGGCTATTTAGTCAGAGTTTGCTATGTAATAAAGTGGTTAACTTCTATTACTTGACATTGGTGGAAGATGAGGGAGTTGAAGAAAATAAAAGAGGGAAGCCCAGATTTAGAGTTCAATAACTGGTTTGATGGTGGTGCCATTTAATGTGGAAAATAGCTTTAATTTTATTAACCGATGTCACACCAATAAACTTAATGGCAAAAAGAGAAGTGAAATGTATCAATTTAATAAAAAAGAAAATCTATGCATTATACTACATTAACTGTAGAAATGCCTAGGAGATATCAGGATGCTCAAGTAGATTTAAAATTACTCTTCTATTTATTTTGATCATTTTCTTTTCTATTTTTCATCAGTGTTGAACTTATTATTACTATTGCCATCGTTACTCTGCCTCAAGTTCAGGAGTTCAGGAGCACTGCAGAGAATGGAGTTGGAGAATGGCACTGTGATGTCTGAGTTCTTTCTCTTGGGATTTAGTGACCATCCGGAACTTCAGAATGTTCTTTTCGCTGTGTTTTTTTCCATCTACTCTGTTACCCTGATCGGGAACCTTGGGATGGTTTTGTTAATCACAACCAGTTCCCACTTGCACACCCCTATGTACTTTTTCCTCTGCATGCTGTCCTTCATAGATGCATGCTACTCTTCTGTCATTGCCCCCAAATTACTTGTGGACTTGGTTTCCAACAAGAAGACCATTTCTTACCATGGCTGTGTTGCACAGTTATATTTTTTCTGCTCTTTGGTTGACACAGAATCTTTCCTCTTGGCTGCCATGGCTTATGACCGGTATATAGCAATCTGCAACCCACTGCTGTATACTGTTATTATGTCTAAGAGGATTTGCTGTCAGCTTGCTATTGGAGCATTTTTGGGGGGCACCATGAGCTCAGTTATTCACACCACTAATACTTTCCATCTGTCTTTCTGCTCCAAAGAAATTAACCACTTTTTTTGTGATATCTCCCCACTCTTTTCTTTATCCTGCGCTGACACTTACAAGCATGACATTGTCCTGGTGGTCTTTGCTAGTTTGGTGGAAGCTATCTGTCTTCTCACGGTTCTTCTCTCTTATGTCTGCATCATAGCAGCTATTCTTAAAACAGGTTCTGCCGAGGGAAGAAGAAAAGGGTTCTCCACTTGTGCTTCCCACCTGACTGTGGTCACTATTTACCATGGGACCCTCATTTTCATTTATTTGCGTCCCAGCACTGATCATTCACTGGATATTGACAAAGTGACCTCTGTGTTCTATACATTGATTATACCCATGTTGAACCCCTTAATCTATAGTTTAAGGAACAAAGATGTAAAAAATGCCTGTAGGAAGGTGATTAGCTCAAAATTTCTTTCTCTTTAAGAAAGGATGAAAAAGGGCCTGACGAGTTTTCAACAATGTCTATATTTTACATTTGGTTCTGAACTATTAGAAGTTAGTTTAATACGGATGTTCCCCAAATCTGTGGGTAACGAAGCCTCAACCACAGAACAGAGCATGATGCCATGGACAATAGCATTCTTTCTTTCAGTGCCAGGAGTTGAGTGACAGATAGGAAGTTAATTGGCTAAGGTCATAGAGCTGACAAGTAAATGATATAATACTTGAACTCAGATATGAACTCATGTCAGTTTTACTTCAAAGTCTAGTTGTTATCTTATACCTTCTCCCATCATTATCATTTTCTTACAATTCTATATAATAAAGAGATAATATGCCAATTGACCATCACACTCTCACATAAGATGGCTGCCCCATGTGGGCACAAGATGGCCACCCCCATGTGGGCACAAGATGACTGTCAGGGGCGGGAAGTTGTGGGTGATCAGGCCAGCAGGGGAGGGCATTTAGGGGCAATCAGGCCAGCAGGTGAGGGCAATTAGGGGCAACCAGGCCAGCAGGTGAGGGCAGTTAGGGGCAACCAGGCCTGCAGGGGAGGGCAGTTAGGGGCAATAAGGCCTGCAGGGGAGGGCAGTTAGGGGGGACCAGGCCAGTAGGAGAGGGCAGTTAAGGGGGACCAGGTTGGCAGGGGTGGGCAGTTAGGGGTGACTGGGCCGGCAGGGGAGGGCAGTTAAGGGTGACTGGGCCAGCAGGCGAGGGCAGTTGGGGGTGATTGGGCCAGCAGGCGAGGGCAGTTGGGGGTGATTGGGCTGGCAGGGGAGCAGTTAGGCTGGCCAGGGAGTGGTTAGGGGCAATCACACTGGCAGGCAGAAGTGGTTAGGGGCAATCAGGCAGGCAGGCAGGCAAGTGGGTGGGAGCCAGCAGTCCCAGGTTGTGAGAAGAATGTCCGACTGCCAGATTAGGCCCGATCCCTGTCTGGCAGTCGGACATCCCCCAAGGGGTCTCAGATTGGAGAGGGTGAAAGCTGGGCTGAGGGACACCCCTCCCCACCACACAAATTTTGTGCACAGAGCCTCTAGTTAATATAATTTAAAAAACAAACCCCAAAAAACCTGGTATCTTAACAATCTGTAAAGGCTATTAGAATCTTCAGAAAATATTTAAAAGACATATTTGAAATATTTTTATCTTAAATTTCTGTTCAAACAGTAATGCAAGACTAGTAACTTGCTGAAAACTGCATATTTTTAATGTGTTGTTCTATTCTCACGATGTTTGAAGTACATAATAGCTCATGTTACACAATACAGGAATATATAAAATTATGGGAGAGGATTTAAATAAAACACATGTGTAACCCATTATTTCATGTTTATTTTTTGACACCACCTAAATTAAAATGAATACTCTTGAGAATCTGAAATTGTGTTGTTTTTCATAACTGGATACATTCTTAATTGATCACACTGCAAACAATATATGCAATGAACTTAGTTTTTAGGATAGATTGTAGGATTACCTAATATTCATCTACTCATCAATACTTTGTTTAAAATATAGTTACAGTTTATTTCACAGATACACAGAGAGTAAATATAAATAGGTACAAATGGAATATCAATCCAAATACTATCTTGTTATTTGTTTTTATTTCACTGAATCATTATTAAGTTAATAAATCTATCTTTTAATTTAAACTCTATCAGTTGGGCATTTTAGCTTTCTATATTTATTTTAACCCGTGTAATGCTATGAACACAAGGGGAATGAAGTCCTCTTTTCCATTGGCCTTTGGAAAGGCTCAGTCCTTTATCCTCCAACTTCCATTTATGCAGTTTCTGTCCAGTTGTCAATAGCATCATGTCTGTTCTCTAGAGTGAGGCAAGAAGGGAAATCCACAGGCTGACGTGAAGACTGTGAGGTGTAATAAAAATCTAGAGCTGCTGATATGGGGTTTGTCTATTGATATAACCGGGCCAGAATGATGAGAAATAGAAGGTCCAATAATATTTTCACATCAAATAATTTTCCCTTGATTCTTATCACAGCCAACACCAAAAGACAAGAAGTTCAGATAGATTTCATCTAAGATGAAGATCATAGAATAACATTGAACAAGAGAATTCTTTTTTGCATCATATTTCAGCCTACACAATAATATTAACCAAGCATTTTGAAAGCTGTCCTGGAACTGGGCATTACTAATTGCAAAGGAGAAATGATGGTGGACAAAGTAGGCAAGGGTTGTGCCTTTATGGAACTTTGAATATAGGAGATTTCTGATTTATTTTTATTTATTTACTTACTATTTTTATCCCTTTAAGTGTTAAGATAGAATATTTATAGGGTGATGTACCTAGTACATGGGGAGGAGACAAACCTTCCTATGTACTAAACCTAATTTAACCCATTTAACCTCCCTTTTGACTGAGCAAGTTTATTAACCCCATATATATAAATAATCTTAAGGAGGATATGTTGAATTGACAAGAGAAGTAGTTGCTATTTGCATGATGTCTCTCTTGGACATACTCATGAACAGAGAATGTAAGTATGAAAAGACTCTCTTTGCAAAAGAATGAAGTGAACCTACTATTACTTGCCCTGAGTTGGGAGAAAAAGCTAAAACCAATAATTAATGCACCTTACTTGCATTTCAGGCACAAAGGTAAGAAATGGGAAAAACCCAGAAGTTTGTATTGGAGACTACAGGAACCTATGCCACAGTACTTAAAGCTTAGTACTCAGATTCTTTCAATAAATCCTTTTGAGTAAACATACTTTCACCCAGAACATAACTTAGTGCCAACTGCTTTTTTCAAGGCACCTTTCACATCCTTATTCCTTAAACTGTAGATCAGTGGGTTTAACATGGGGATAACAACTGTGTAGAAAACAGAAGCCATTTTGTCTGTGTCCATGGAGTAACTCGTGCTGGGTCGGAAATACATGAACAAGAGCGTACCAAAAAATATCGCCACAGAGGTTAGGTGGGAGGCACAGGTAGAGAAGGCTTTGTGTCTGCCCTCTGCTGAGTTCATTCTAAGGACGGTGGTTATGATGTAGCTGTAGGAGAGGAGGACAGTGATGATGCTGGACCCCACAACACAGCCAATGAAAGTGAACATCACTATCTCATTGATGGTTGTATCTGAGGAGGACAGAGCTAGTAAGGGTGGGATATCACAGAAAAAGTGATTGATGATGTTGGAATTGCAGAATGATAATCGGAATGTGAAACAGGTGTGGATGGCCGAATCCACCAAGCCCGTGATGTAGGCAATAGTCACAAGCTGGGTGCAGATGCTTCTGGACATGGCAGTTGTATAAAGAAGTGGATTACAGATGGCCACATAACGGTCATATGCCATGACAGCCAACATGAGACATTCCACATCTGCAAAAGCACCAAAAAAGTACATCTGAATGGCACATAAATTATATGGAATATTTTTTTGCTCAGATAAAAAATCAACTAACATCTTGGGAGAGATAGTGGAGGAGTAGCAGACATCACAGAAAGACAGGTTGCTCAGGAAATAATACATGGGTGTGTGGAGTCTGGGGTCCATGTTGATCAGCAGGATCATCCCTAGATTGGCGATCACGGTGATGCCATAAACCAGCAGGAAGAGCACAAAGAGCCCCCGCTGCACATCCTGTCTGCCAGAAAGTCCTAGGAGTATGAAGTCAGTAAACACAGTGCAGTTCTCAGCAGCCATCACTCAGGTCTGGAAACCCCTGATATTAAAGAAGGAAATGGAAGTGGGGTTCATATCATATTACTATTTTTCTGTAATTAGAAAAAGAGATAAGCATTTTGCTAAGTATGCTTTGGGTAAAATGACTCTCTTGGTATATATCCAAGTAAGTATAAATTGATAAAGTGATTATGCCAATAATACTGCCTACATTTATATAGCACTGTCTACAGCAGTGGATCTCAACCTGCGGGTCGCGACCCCTTTGGTGGTCGAACGACCCTTTCACAGGGGTCGCCTAAGACCATCCTGCATATCAGATATTTACATTATGATTCATAACAGTAGCAACATTACAGTTATGAAGTAGCAACGAAAATAACTTTATGGTTGGGCCACAACATGAGGAACTGTATTTAAAGGGCCAGAAAGTTGAGAACCACTTGTTTAGAGTTTGCAGTGCACTTTCATTCAAAATCGATCATGTTATTTTCACACCAACCTATGCAGAACTTACGATAATTTTTACTACTTCTATCTTATGTTAAGAAATTGATGTCCTCAATGTTCTGTTCTATGATGTCTTCATAGTTCTAAATGATGTCCTCATAGATCTCAATGATGTCCTCATAGGTCTAAAAATCATTTGGTCCAGATAACCCACATATTCTGACAATATTGTTTTTCTTTTTAGTGTTGTAGAACTATTCTATCCTGTAATAGAGAAGTGTAGTTAATGAGAGGTTCAGCTAATGAATATATTTCTTTTCTATTTCTTCATTAATCCAATTGTGAAATAGGCAGAGTGATTATAGGTTCCTAGATATAACGTTCACCTAATACCCCATCAACTCCTCAGTTTCTAAGCAGCCTTAACAAACAAGGGATAGCAATGGTCTCTGATCCAGGACCCAGTGGAGCAGTGAGGGTGATGCTTGCTGGAGTAGTTTTGGAGGGTCCCTGATGCTAGCGCTAACCATGTCTCTTCTGACAGCAGCTGTTGCTCAGGGGAAATGATGGAAAGTTTTTGCGATACTATTCACATATATGACTGAAAGGAAACAAAGAGAGTACGAACTACTGTGTAAGCCCTTCAACTCTAATCTGCTAGAATCCATATGATCTATTCACCAACAGGTCAGATCTGTAAGACATATTTAAAAATACTCACTGGTGCACAGTCCCATTAACCCTGAAAGATTCATGTCTAAACTATACCCCCATCCCACGTCCCTCGAAATTGTAATATTGCTTTATTGTTTTCATTGATCCCTATTTAACATGAACATCTCCAAGTTCTCCTTCAGTGGTGTTGGTGGTCTTTGGGAGGCCAATGGAATTCTACATCCCACTGTTATATTTTACCCAATCAATTGCTGAATCATCTGTGACCTTCTCATTTCTGTGGGAATATAAAGAAAGTAGAGTTGAGAATAGATGAAAGACAAAAAAAGAATATATACATAATAATCCAGTTACTAATGTTCAGCCTTCCAAAACCTTAGCCTAAACTTCTCTAGACAGATCAGCAAAAAATTTTTTATGCCCAGCCGAAGTGGCTCAGGGGTTGAGCATCGACCCATGTACCAGGAAGTCAGGGATTGATACCCGGTCGGGACACATGCCTGGGTTTCGGGTTCCATCCCTGGTGGGGACATGCAGGAGGCAGACAATCAATGAATGTCTCTCATCATTGATGTTTCTATCTCTCCCTCCCTCTGAAACAGTGGTTCTCAATCTTCTGGCCCTTTAAATACAGTTCCTCATGTTGTGACCCAACCATAAAATTATTTTCATTGCTACTTCATAACTGTAATGTTACTACTGTTATGAATCGTAATGTAAATATCTGATATGCAGGATGGTCTTAGGCGACCACTGTGAAAGGGTCGTTCGACCACCAAAGGGGTTGCGACAAATAGGTTGAGAACCACTGCACTGAAATCAATAAAAAATATATTAAAAATGTTTCCCATGTAAAAATGAATATATTTTATAAAATATACAAAAGGAAAGGTTACAACAAAAATAATAAAAATGATCTACCACCTCCCCAACCCATGCTTACCTTTTATTGTATTTATAGCTAAGTACATGTATTTAAATTAAATAAATGAAAAACAAATCTGTATGGACATGGCTTTGCTGGTATCACTGGTGCCCCTTAACATAATACTAAGTGAACAATTGTCTAGTTATAAAGTCTTTCTTCCAGAAAATGGTTATCTGATCCTGAGAGATGGCCATTGTCATATAAGTGCATGACAGTGCTACCAAGGAAAACAGGTTTAGTCAAGGCTCCCTGTGGCATGAAAGGAAGGCACTGCATGTTGTTATAAATATATCTATACTATAAGCAAAGTAGTGTTTTAGGAAAATAAAAAATAATTATTTAATTAAAATATTCTCTGAATGTAGTATGCCTTGCCAATTTCACAAACTTATCTCAAAACTACAAATAAGCTACTAAAGTTTTTAAATTCATACTGAAATCCTGCCATTTTTTACCATCTGATAGTCCATAATCCTTATTTTTATAAAACCTTATAAAGTTATATATACAGGGTACCCCCCAAAATGTATACATACTTTAACAGCTGATAGCTGGATTGATGTTTCTTTCTTTCTTTTCAGATTTAACCCATTGGAATCAACAAAGATTCACAGTGTGTGTATACATTTTTGAGACACTGAATATGTGAATATAAACATCTTTTGAAATTTTATACTTATTTAAAATTTTTTTTATAAGCAAGTGAATTTTCAGGATGGAAACATCCTTGCACTAAATACTGAACTAAAATTTTCAGAGGTAGTCTTGGAGCTTTAACACTAATGATATCCAATATGATAGAAATTTTATATATTTTCTCTAAAGAAAAAAAACTTGATTTTATCACTGACAATGCTTCTGTATGTTAGCAAATGAAAAAAATTATTTTTATTTTATAATTATATTTTAGTTTATGTTTATTGTTGACACTGTTACAGATGTCTCCATCCCCCACCCCTTTGCCCACCTAAATGAAACTTTTTATGCTACCGTTTCGGTGTATGGCATCTTAGTGTTTACTGAAATCTGAAACACGTTTTGCAGATCTAGTCTATCACTCACCTTCACTGGTTGCATGACTGAGGCCAAGAGGACAAATCCCTTTTCAAAAGAAAGAAATGTGATAAAAAAGAAGTGAAAACAAAATAAAGTGTGAAAATTGACATATGTTTTTATTTTAAGCTGCCTTTCCCATTTAAATGAAAAGGTACAGAAACCTACCTGAAATGAGCAAGTCTTTCTGTCCTTATCTCTGATACTTCAACAATAGGCAGATTGCATTTTATTTCTACCTCAGTGATTGTTGGGACAAATCTCTAAAGCCTCTGCCTCCACTCCTCTGTGTTGTGAGAATATGATTAATTAGATTCCGCTTCTGTGTTTTCCCCTGTGAATGCTGCAACAACTTTAGCAAAGTCTCAAAGTTTTAATCCTTCACTCCTTTGAGTAAATTGGTCAGTGTCAGACATTTAACAGACTTTATTTTAATGCTGTGCTTCATGCTACCATGGGTCTACACTCTCCTCCAGTGAAACCAGATGTCTGGTGAACTTAGATTTTGATCTGCTTTGCATTGTTTATCCTGTTTCCTCTACTTCTGAAACACCTCCTTCACTTCTCACTTAGAAATACAGTCGTCTCACATATTGCTATTTTCATTAGTTATTGTCTGATTCCTTCCCACAAGTATACATCAACTGCCCTCATTGCAAGGGTTTTTTTTTTTTTTTTGACTTGTGTAAGGGTAGGAAACTTTTTCCTTCTTCTCTTCTGTTTTCTTTGACTGGCCTAATAGGAAATTGGCATCACACAAATTAACAGGAGAAAGACAAATTGAATTTTACATGTAGAGGAGACCCATATCAAATGTTAGACTCAAAGAGATGAACAAAGGACGCAGTTTATATACCATGTAGACAGAAAAACAATAAATTTGTGAAAAATTCAAGACAAGACAAAGGAGACTTTAGGGTTGGGATAGTGAAGAAGTTACAAGTTTTGTTTATATAACCTTCTCAGCTCTAAATTCCCTATCTCTGGTGATAAGAAAGCAAATAGAAATTGTTGCAAGTTGAATACTAATGTGAATACTACTTTGCTTTTTTAAGTTTTAAATATATACTTTTAGTAATCAATTTCCCTTACAACTTAAACTTTATAAATTGGGTATTTTAGTTTTTTCTATAATTTTAACTAATATAATGCTATGGACACTTCAAGGGAGACTGGCGTCCTTTCCTCCAGTGACATTAGAGAATGTCCTGTTCCTTTTACCCCAACCTTTATTTATGCAGCTTCTGTAGAGTTGTCAATAGGACCATATCTGTTCATCAGAATGAGGGAAAGAGGGGAAATCCACAGGCTGGTGTGAAAACTATGACATATTTCTTTATGTTGTACGACCTGCCAGCCGTGGGGGATTATTTTTGCATTGTCCATTTATTGAGTAATACTTTATTTTGAGTTTGAATCATTTATAAAATGTATAATACTCATTACATTAGCTATACATCTTGAATATTACTAGAGTTAATTTAATTGCCAGAGATCTGTAAAGGCAAAATTCGTTTAAACAATAAGAAAGATAAGATGTGTAAGGCGTATAGAGTTTGTGCGCTCCAATAGTTCAGGAAATTTTATGTTTCTTCTTGTTTTCCTTGTGTGTTGCTATGTAGTTAGTTATTCCTAGCTTCTAAAGGCTGAATAATCTCAGGCAAAATTCAGTGAAATCAATATATTTTTAATTTTGTAAAACTGCTCTTATTGACTAGTTTTAATGTCTTTTCACAGTGTATTGCTCTTGTGTGTGTGATGATCCCAATACTAAAACACCAGATGTACTCCTGTGGGAGATGCTACGGCAAATCTCAAACCACCTAAGTAATTGCTAGCAACGTACCAGCAGATAAACGTAAGACAATGCTATATGTATAGTACTTGAGAGCTTTACCACCATTCTCTGCCTCCC